CCCCCGCCCCCGCCACCACCACCCGCCACCTCGCCCCTGCCACCGGAGCACGAACGTCCGCTCCGGACCCCAGACTCCTGCCCCGAACCCCGCACCCCGATTCCTGTCACCGACTGGAGGTGGGCTCCAAGCAAAGGGGATGAAAGCTCGTGGAATTCTTTCGCCACCTCTTTTGGTCTTTCAATCTCAACTGATTTTCTTGCAGATGGTGTTCTACACCTTGCTGTTTACAAGCTTGCATTCACAGAAAGCAAATGCAAGAGATCATGGAGGAAATCAGAAACAAATCCAATGAACGGAAATTATACGTATATTTTACTGAAATTTTATTAATGTCAATACATAAGATCGATAGATCTATAAAAAATAAAATATCATAATCACTATTAATACGAAAGATAAACTGTTCATGTTTTCGTTTCCCATCACAATTCTAAATATTATGAGAATGGCGTTTTAATTAAAACTATCTTTAGTATATTCATTACCATTTCTTGAAACAAAATTAGGGAAACAGAGATACCAGTTTCAATAAAACGAGTGTTTATTCAAAAAATTCCACTGTATATCATAATCTCTCGCAACCATTTATTAAGACAACAAAATATCTGTTTATTTGAAACCAGTTGTTCCATGTATTTTGAACATTAATTGTAAACCAACGTTTTGTAATAGTAATCTGGATCCACCTCCATTTAGACAACATATTTACCACTTGTTCCCATTCCGTCACCCTAGTGGGAGAAGCATGAATAAATTTCAAATTGCCCTTGTGTTTTTGGCAACCGCTGCAGGACATTGGAGCGGTTAGAAAGTGCTAGAAGAGTGGAAGCCTAAGACTTGCCCTGGCGCTCTCCAATCCCTCCTGGCTGAGGCTGACCCCAGGACACCACCTGCTGTGAACGCCTGCTCTTGCTTCTTGAAAGCCCTGTAGTTGAGAAAACCAACAGCCCCGGGTTTCCCTCTGTCAGATCTATCTTACTGCTTCAATAATTTCTTGATCTCTTTCAGGTGGTTGACTCTGTAAGTGAAGTAGTTATCTTGGCCCCCTGAGCAAATCCCAAGTGAATTGGATGTGTGAATGTTGTACTAAGCTTATTCTAAGCTTATAGCATGTTACTTACAAAGCACAGAAAAGCAAAATAAAGTCCTACTAGCCTGTTAATTAATCATATTTGGCAAAAAAAAATCCTTACAACCAATTTCCCAAATTTTGTTTCATAATTAGGCTAGCATTGTACATATCCTTCACATCTGAACACTTAAAAAATTATATTTTTGTATTAAAACTCGGTCTCAGTTTTGTTAGGTACTTCACGTTTGTAAAATAAGAAACTTCTGGAGAGAGGAGTCAATCAATTGTCAAATTGATATCGAAAATTTTAATTATTATAGACTAATTTTTTCTGAATGTTATATGTTGAGGCATAAATGAATTACTTAGATTTATTGACATATATTGAATGATTTATATTTCTTTAATTCTATGAATAAGCATCCAGTTCCAAATATTTAAAAAATTTATTTTGGTGAGAATTCATTGTTCATTTCTGAGAACTAAATAATTTATCATTATTTTGTAGTTCATTATATAATGCTTTGAATCAAAGCCAATAATTTATTTAAACGTGTTAATCAATTGTTTTGACAATTTCTTAAGAAATGAAGTTGAATGTCTGATTTCTATTAAACAGAGTAAATTTTGTATTCATGAAAGATGTTCCAGAAACATGAACAACTGGAATGTTGCAGGTGCATCCATGCGGCCGCTACCGGCACAACACAGTGGTCTTCATCTTGGCCAAGGAGTACAATCTGCGCAACTTGCGAACTATTCATCGTCTTGACCGTCTTACATCTGGTCTTCTACTCTTTGGTCGGACTCCAAAAAAGGCACGTGCTATGGAGCATCAGATTCGCAACCGTCAGGTGGTCAAAGAGTATGTGTGTCGTGTTGAAGGAGATTTTCCCAGGTAAATGTCATTCTTTGTGGACAGAATTAGAGGTGAAGTGTATACTACTATAACCATAAGAGTAAATGAAAATTCCTAGTTATCCTGTAATTCGTAAAATTTAATTACAGTTACATATACAAATGTATACATTGTTTAAGGAGCGTCATGTCATTCTGAACATTGTCTTGTAATCAAGATAATAAATGTATATAGCCAATGATGGTTTTATTATGAACTGTCGAGTTTTGAAATCATGTTTCATCTGCAAAGAAAACGAACTAAAACCAATTAGTGCATAATTTAAAAACCAATTAGTGCGTCAATCACAATTAATTTCACTTTATTTTGTGGGCAATAATGTTCAAATATAATATTAAAGGGCAACTAAAATGGCAAGTAGTAAAAATTAATTCTTATAATCAACCTGGCTTAGAACCAAAATTAGGTTTCATTTTCAAATATTGTTTTGCATTCCCATAAATATAGTATAGATAAAGCTATGAAAACTGTATAACACGTTCTTGATGAAAATATATGTTTTGTTGGTCCATAATTCCAGAAAAGTGTTTTGTGTGTGCGTGTGCAGGGATGTGTGTGTGAATATGTATTTATATTCATCTTTCTGGCAATATGCATGTCGGCTTACAGACACTTGTGATTATTTTAATTTTTAGGGATACCTTACAAGTCCATCATAAAATGCATCCTCTGAAAAAGTTTGCAGGAAGTATTAAACTTGCAATAAATCAACTCATTTAATTTGTGCATACAATCAGCATGATTTTTGAGAACTCATTTAGTTTTATGTGCCCAATAAGTGAAAGATAAATGTTTTTAGAATGGGTCACATCCTGGACTATCACAAGTCTGTCTTAGCTGGTGCATCCGAAGCAATGGAAGCTTGAGAAAGAATGGTAGATCTGGCAGTTGCGTGGGGCAGCGTGCTGCTATTATGGTGCAGGGTTTTGTTCGGCTGAATGTGCACCTATTAACTGAGCTAAGAATTTAGACCCTTTCATCTAATTTCATACATTTGTTTTCTAGAAATATTATTTTAAATTTTTTCATGTGAGATCAATTGTATCGGCCATTTTCAACGTAAAAGTTAAAGGCAAGGATTGAAATCCCGTTATGTACAAATCGGCTGTATACTACATGCTATAGTTTTCCTTGTTCAAGTAATATTTTTGAAGATGTGAAATGTATGTCGTTGTTCAGACATCCATGTTGCCCCACCTCATTCGAAACCCAACAGCCACTGCTGATCCTGTCCTGCATCCTTAATATTGTATTTACAGAATTTGTTCGTAATGCAATCTATTTTCTATTATTGGATCTTTGAATTATATCAAGCACGCTTTTTTCACAATATTATTATTTTCATGTAATTTTGCGTTACATTGTTTACATTTTTCAAGTGATGGCTAAAGTGGTAGTAGGATAGATGGTGCAATATATTATTGTGTTTCCAAACCTTTTCCCTTATTTGAGTTACAGTAATCCTTATCATTTTTTTCTTGCTGCAGTGAAGTGATTGAGTGCGAGCAGCCCATTGAAGTCGTGAGCTACAAAATTGGAGTGTGCAAAGTGTCTCCCCGGGGAAAACACTGCACCACAACTTTCCAAAAGCTGGGTTTCAATGGCAAAACAAGTGTTATATCATGCAAGCCACACACAGGACGAATGCACCAGATTCGTGTGCATCTACAATATCTAGGTGAGTTTTACATGTTTCTCTGTACTTCATAATTTGGATAAACAAAGATTAATTTCAAAATGTTGCTATTATGAGATGAAAATAATCCTCCTTATTTGTTTGGATATACAGTCAGCCCCCAATTTATGAGAGCTCTACATATGAGAATTTAGAGATATGAGCATTGCCAGATTCACTTCAATAAAAATCAAATCAAAAACATTTGATAATGCTACAAACATTTTTGTGGTATAAAGTGAACCCAATTCATCAACTAGCAAAGCAGTTGATTAACCATCAAACCAAGCCGTTGATAATTATTCAGGAAGATCATCAAACTCTAATCTTGCATTTTCTTACCTTTGTCCCCATTGTGCTCAATGGAGACCACTTCCATCCTTCTGTATGGCAAAATGTACCACAAACCATTAATGTATTATGTTATATTACATGTATGTAATGATGAATGTAGTTCTGTACATTGTTGCGATTAAACTTAATTTTTTTATTGTTCAGTTCAGTAGTTGTTAATTGTTAAAAATCTCAATTTGTCTTCCTCTCATTGTGATCAGCAAAGTAGCTATGCTTCTCAACTTACAAGAATTCGACTTATGAATGGTTTACAAGTCCCTATCTATCTCGTAAGTTAGAGTCTACCTGTACTAGAATTCATCCATGAATATATTTTTTATTGTGATTAAGCATTTCTAAAATGGGTTCAAGAACTTGTGGTTTATAATAATTAATCTAAAAGGTTCAAGCTATTTATTTCTACACCATTAGAAAGTTCTAATGAGTTTGGAAATAAAATAATGTATTGAAAAAAAATATGAAATAGTTATTTCTTTTATCTACAAAGCATTTGGTCATTGGAGGGATATGGTCATTCAGAAGTAAATAATGGTATGGCATTTTGAAGGAAATCAAGAGTATTCTTTTGTGAAAGAGAGGGAATACCTCTCTGTATATTCCACGATAATTCAAGAACAGACAAAAAAGGCAATAATTATTCACTCTTTCATTATGGCTCTGCATAATGTTTCATGTTAACATTAGTTACAATTTTCCTTCCCTACTAACCTTGTTCAGTCAAATACCTTTATTAAGGCCAAATGTCTTGCCTTTGTTTCTTTGTGCTTCACTATGCATTATGTTTATAAGTTGTGGATCACAAATGTTTATTCTTGATAATTTGTTAAAACAATATCTAAATAAGTTTTTATGTTAAATATCAATGATTACTTTCAGGTTATCCGGTTGTCAATGATCCTCTCTACAACCACACTGTGTTTGGACCTGAGAAAGGTCGTGGAGGTAACATTGGGAAAACAGATGAAGAACTTATTCGTGACCTTATTAACATTCATAATGCTGAGAATTGGTTGGGGATGGATGGAGATTCAGAACTCAGTATGTTTAAACGTACTGATCTAGATGAAACTAAAGGTAAATAGTTCAAAATAGAATAAATGGTGAGGAAGAAGAATCTTACTTAATATTTTGAAATCAATTTTTCCATCTTAGTTTTATTCCAAAGTCCAAAAGTTTTATTTCATTTTTGGGAATTGTTTAATTGATAATGTAGTGAAATTGTTTTGCTTTAAGAATAGTAACCTTCAATACACATAGCAAGGGCTGGGATATTAATGCCATAAATATGTTTTAAACTATGCACTTAAAATGTTCAGGTTCAGAAAGCATTTTAATTGTCAAATTTGTTTTGATATGATAGCTTCATAATACATAGTTTTTGCCCCTAATGTTCTACATTTTATAATGGGTTTTACTCATGATGACAAATGTGTGAATATGAGCTGAAATTGCAGTATGGTATTACATAACTATTACTAATTGTGTCTAATTTTCATAAATAAAGTCGATATTTTAGTGTTAATAAAGCAAATTATTTTAAATGTTAATAGGCCACGAAACACTTTCCAGGAAAGGTTAAGAAATACAAAATGGTCGAAAAATTATTGTTAAAAATGCTTCCATAAAACATATGTTACAAAACACGTCACTAAAAAAATATTCCGTTATGTTTGTTTAGTCATGCAGGCATATTTTATTAATATTGCATTATTAACTTAATGCTACATTTTGTTTTCTTTGTTTGATTTACATTTACTTTCAATTGTGTATTTTGTACACTAGACTAAGAATTTTAAAAAATTGAGATATATTTTGTGCTTTATAATGGATCTATAATTTATTTGCATCTTTTACTTCTTAATAATAAAATATTTGTGTAATTAAGTAGTGCTTTAAATAGGCTCTAATACTAAAGGGTCTATTAGACCCAACATTCCCATGGACATCAGGATTTTTCACGTTCCCACCACCAGGTTAAATTATATATTTTTACAAAATACAAGTAGTTTTCTTGTAATTTTATGTGAAGTAAAAGCAATTTGCAAAACAGATTTTTTTCCCCATTGTTTTGTGAATAGTGCAAAATATTCTTATAAAAATATTAAATTTTTGTTGAACTCTCTGATGTATTGAAAATTACAAAAGTTACAAATAACGCTAGCAAAAATGTGTTGTTGAAGTACTTCTAATTTAATTCCTTGTTCTAATACGTGATTGTTTTGAACAGTGCGCAACCAATAAGTATGTCAATTAGATAATAACAACAGACTTATATAGGTTATTACCACACTATTATCATTAATAAATAGTTAAATGCAGTAATCAGTTAAACTTTTTCTCAGTTTTAAATTTTCTGTGCGTGCATCAACAAATAGATGTTATATTCAAATCTTAATAGCTGTCACATGACGGTAATATATTTTTATTAATAGTCTATGAAATTTAAAGGAAATATTTTAGGAGATAAGCCTGATATGAATGGAAAAGTAATTGATTTGCATTCTTGTTACTAATAATTGACATTACCATTTAATTTTGAGAGTAAATATGAAAAGTATAATATGAAAAGAAATAAAATATTATAAGTAATTACGAATAATAGTATTGACATATAAGCAGTATGTGGAATACCAAGAAAGAAGTGGATCATGCAGGAACATCTGGAAGACGGAAGTATTTCTGGTCTTACTGGCATAACCAGGGAACCAGCCCCCCTCCTCCCTCCCCCATCCCCTCCCCCCCGCCCCTGCGGCCTTTCATCCTGCAGCTTCATTGATGATAAATGAGTATAATAGTAGTATGTGTATTCTAGTAAGTCATTGATTTTGGGTAGGAAATTAAGACTCTTTGCAGGAAAAGATGTTTAACAAATAACAATAGACAGTGCAAATATATTCCTAATGGAGGGTGAAGCTATCAATTATTGAACTGCTATAATTGCTAAAGCACATAAAATTTAAGAGATTATAATATATTAATTTGGGTTATTGTGTACTTGTGTAGTTAATTAATATTTGAAACGCCCACAGGATGCAGTGCAGGAGATGAAGAGGCAGATGTGGGGAGCCGCGAGCCTTCTCCATGTGATGAAGCTGGAGACGGAGCAGACTCCCCATCGGTGCCTGCGTCTGTGCCTGTCCCTGCCCCTGCCCCCACTCCCCCAGCTCTTCCTCCCAGCATGCCAGTCCGGCCCCCGGCAGGGTCCAAAGTAACTGTGGCCACTCAGACCGGTCAGGAGGCTCCGGATCTCACTTTCAACCCGGATAAACTAACCTGGGACGAACATTGTTATGAGTGCAAGGTGCGGTACCGAGATCCCAAACCCAAGGACTTGGTGATGTACCTGCATGCCTGGAAGTACAAGGTATGTGTTATTAGGAAGCAATGTTGTTAAACAAATACAAAGTATATTCCATAAATAATAAGCAGCAAATTACAATTGTTGTAGAAACTTGTAATGAAGTTATAAACATTTACAGTAAGATTTGTTCTATATGTTTCCACTATATAAAAACTTTGTGTGAATAAAGTACATGCTTCCAGTGATTTAAAATAGTTGTTGCTACTGAACATATGCTGCCAGATGTTGAACTTCTATTTATTTGTTAGGATATCCATTTTTCTGATTACATACTTTCATTTTAAAAACTTGCAAATATTGATAAATGGTTACAAATAATTTGTAATATCACTTATGAGTAGGGATGTAAGTGATAAAATATATTTGACTTGTGAAAGTCTCAGAATGGATTGGAGCACTGAGTAAAGAAACTAAAATTTGAATATTTAAATCATTATTATTATTATTATTATTATTATTATTATTATTATTATTATTATTATTATTATTATTATTATTATTTTTATAATATTAAATTGTGTTTTCTACTCATTTTTGAGCCATAATTCTATTTAATGTGTTATGTTTTGTATTAAATTAAAACAATAACATATTTGAAGAGAGAAAAATAATAAACCATAATTTTTAGTCATTTATCCATTATGTTACATGAATAAAAGATTTAATTTAGAAATTTTACAATTTAACCCAAAGTTGACTATAGGATCCAG